CAACTGGATTGGAAGCTACACGCCTGCTAATGTGGCTAGGGCCAAGCTTGGATGCCGAACAATAAATCCCGTTATGACCATTCCCATGCCAGTCGTGTAGGGAGACGTCGAATCAATATTCGGCGCAGTACCGGCCTACGGGAAGGGAGTTCCTCGCGTACATCAGGGGTAGGCAGTGCAGCGGCCGCGTGTTTTATCCGCATTTGCTTCGACGTTGCGCCATCGCATTGACATTCAGGGGGGAGCATCACGGAGGAGCAGGGAGAAGGTGGACACTGCTTTATATTCTAACCGCACGGATCCGTGTAAACTTTTTGCACCCAAACCGCCGACAGGCTGAACATCACGACGGAGGGCTCACGGCGGCCGAAGCGGCACTGTCAGCAAGCTTGGTCCCACTGTCGCGTGAAAATTGAAATGCTGTATAAGTTGATGCGCAAGTTCAAATCAACGCTCTCCGAGCGCTTTGCTCTGTTTTGTTGTCATGTTTGACACGTGGTGTTAGAATTGGATGCGTTGGATATGGGATTAGTAGAAATTAACTTGTTGCAAATTTGAAGACACAGAAGTGAGGCTTAGGAAATGCCTCCGCTTCTTTAGCTAACTCCTTAGAACAAGCTCTCGTCGATTTGTTGGACAAATTTGGGGCATAAGCTGCCTTTGCTTGCACGTCACGGTATTCGCTGCCTTTGCTTCATCACCATCCATCAAGACCCACATGTCGCCGTCCTCCACATACGGCAACTTCTCACAACGACTGCGTCACTTCGCCTACATCCGACGGACTGGATTCCACGGACAGCACCAACTCCAGAAGCCCGCCCTCCTCATGACCCCTCTAAACACCCATCCTCCTTAAAACCTCTCCAGACATCCGGCTTCCTTACATCTCCTCCAGACGCCCGCCTTCCTCATAATCCCTCCAGACACCTGCCTTCCTCATGACCATTCCAGGGGCCCGCCCTCGCCATAACCCCTCTAAACACCCGCTTTCTTCATAACTTCTCCAGACACCCGCCTTCCTCATAACCTCCTAAGACACCCGTCCTCCTCGTAACCCCTCCAGATGCTCGCCTTCCTCATGACCCCTCCAGACAATCGCACTCCTCATATTCCCTTGAGTCACCCGCCTTCCTCATAACCCCCTCAGAAAATCGCCCCCTCATAACCTCTACAGCCACCCGCCTTCCTCACTGACCCTTCCAGACACCTGCCCTTCTCATAAGCACCGCGCCATTTCACTCCTCCCCCCCCCCCCCCGTCCAGCGAACTCCACCATTCTCCGCCCTCCGGCCGCGGCCGCCCACCTCCGAAGATGTCCTTGGCGTCGAGGTAGATGTAGTGCGCCTTGAAGCCACTGGAGACGTGGTCCGAGTCGGTGTGGAGCACCACGAGCAGGCCGCGAGCGCCCCGCACCGACTCGGTGGGCCCGGGGGTGGACTGGGCGCAGTAGCGGCCGATCAGGTCCGTGCTGTTGTCGTGGTACAGGTTGTAGATCTCCAGCCAGTCCTCGTGACAGTTGTGCAGCCTGGGAGAGAGTGGAAGAGAGGGGCATGTGGTACACGCTTCTGATCGGCCAGGATTTTCAAGTGTGAAGTCGCTCTCCTTCATCCTGGATCTGGCTTCAAAATCATGGGAAGGTTCCTCGCTGTACACGTGCAACTCAACACCTGGCGTCTCGAGCATACACATGCAAAAAGATGAAGCCAGCACCAGAAACGCGCTCCCGCAGCTGTAGTGATGGGTCAGTTCGCGCCAAGTACCGGCTGCTCGTTAGTGGTGGGCCAGCAGCTGTACTCGATACTCACCCGTAGGCCGATCCGTTGGTGTTATCGGCGCGCACCTTGAAGCCGTCGAACACGAGTCGCACCTGCTCGTTGCGCGCCGTCTCGAAGGTGTACTCGCAGGCGGTGGACGACGGGTAGTTGGCCGGGTGTCGAGGCGAATTGAAGTCACCTCGTTTCCCCGCCGTGGAGGAGTAGGAGAAGCGGCAGCTGCCGTCCGGCGCCGCCGTACCCGGGATCAGATACTCTGTCGGGGATAAGATATGGTGAACACCGCCGTCCCCGGGATCAGATGCTCTGTCGGGGATAAGATATGGTGAACACCGCCGTCCCCGGGATCAGATACTCTGTCGGGGATAAGATATGGTGAACACCGCCGTCCCCGGGATCAGATACTCCGCGGGGAATAAGATACATCACGGGCCACCGTGCGCAGGATCCGATACTCTACCGGGGATAAGGTACAGTGAAGACCACTGCACCCGGGAGGCAGGGGTTTGGTAGAGGATCAGATAGATCGACAGCTGCTGACCTGCGCCGCTGTGCCCGCCATCAAAACGCTGCGCGGTAGACAACATGGCGAAGGTAAGCGTTAGTGCCCCAACACTGTCACAGCTAAAGAAGTGCTCTGAGAAACACGCAGCTAGATACTACCCACCCAAACAGCTAGACACTCCACCCAAAACAGCTAGATACTTCACCTCAAACAGCTAGATACTCCACCCTAAACAGCTAGATACTTCATCACCCCAAACAGCTAGATACTTCCAACCCCAAACAGCTGACACTTCACCCCAAACAGCTAGATGCTCCACCCCAAACAGCTAGATACTCCACCCCAACAGCTGGGATACTTCACCCAAACAGTTAGATACTACACCCCAAACCAGCTGGATACTTACCCCAAAACAGCTAGATACTACACCCCAAACAGCTGGATACTTCACCCCAAACAGCTAGATACTCCACCCCAAACAGCCAGATACTCCACCCCAAACGCAGGCCGCCTCTTCCAGACTTGTCTGCGGATGGAGCCCACGAGGTGCGACGAACACACCGACAAGATACGCCCAGCGGTGCCGTAGCAACGGCGGGGAAACGATTTCAAAGTTGAGGGGGAGCGGGTGAAACAATTACTTGACAAGTCCCCCCATATTATCACCACCTTTCGGCCACTAAATAATTGAATTTGGTAAAAGAAATGGGGACTAAGGTTATAAGAATAACATCATCATTGATGCGAACACATGCCCTGATTCGACGGTGAAATATGGGTCATTGTACTGAATGCATTTAATTCATATGCCATGTTTTCGAATCAGCTATACAACATTACTCTTCCTACTCTTCCTATGCAAATCATGATCAAATTTTGCTATATATATATATATATATA